ATCTATCTATCTATCTATCTATCTATCTATCTATCTATCTATCTATCTATCCTGTGTATATATATATATATATATATATATATATATATGTCATGTTATATATGTCATGTTACCAAATACAAAATTTACCATTTTTCCTAATTCTCTTGGACACAGGCCTTATCGATGGTTGCCTTTTTCTGAGTATAAAAAGGAAGAAGAATAGCACAGACGCTCATTTGATTGAACACATATTCAGCACAGTTTTTAATAATGATGTTGGAAGTGATATCCTGTATTTCTAAAGCTCCCCTGCTGGTGTCGGTGTACGATATCTAACAAATCAGTGTTGTCTAGACATGAGCACACATCTGTGAATCATATCTCCATTAGAAAGCTACATGTATAAAGCGAAGGGGTGATTTGTTACATTTTCACAAATGAAAATAACTCAGATTTACTGGGGAACAAAGATTGAGATTGAGATTTGAGTGACAGACAGCATTAAAAATAACAGATTGGGGGGAAACCACTGTCATTATTTGTCAAATATTCCCCTGGGACTGTGAGCCAGGCCTGGTCTATGCAAAGGACAAACATTGTCCTGGATCCTTGGATTCTCTTGTTCTAGACAAGTCATAAAAGAAGAAAAATAGAGAGCTGTGCATCTCTGTAAAGCAATATAACACAGTTGTCTGTTTTCAAGTAACATGTATTTCCTCATAAGTGTTGAACGGGCGAAAACTTGCTGTAAGAATTGTTGCATTTTGCACATTTCAAGGAAAAAAAATTAATTAGTGTTGCATAAAGTACAAACATCCAAGTCTATGTTGAATTTTACTCTTAAGACTGTTGAGTTAATTATTTCAGCTACTCTAATTTGTATCTATTTAATGATCTGGTGCGCATAAACACAACTTCAAGCAGGTTAGGTAATAATGAAAACATTATTATAATACTCACATATGTGAGCTGAGAATGAGGCATACTGATGTTGAAAGACAGAAGAATAAAGAATACACATAAACCAATAAATGCAAAGTCAGAAAACACGCTCTGTCTTTGTGATCCACACATTTTTATTTATACCTCCATTTTTAATTAGATCCCCGACTGTTAGGAGTCATAGTGGTGATCCCACAATGTAAATCACACATATGGAAATATGTAAGTTCTTTAGTTTACTACATTTGTTTAAAGTTTGTTTAAAACTGTGGTTTAAAGTGAGCGTACAGCCTGAATTTCCCTAATGCGGCGGTTCCTCTCGTGCCCACCAGATGGGGCACCGGCCGGACTCCTGAGTACCAACCCGCCTGTTTCAGTTTACCCCAAATGGACTGCTCAGCCCTCAGCTCTGAGCAGAAACTCTCTCTCTCTCTCTCTCTCTCTCTCTCTCTCTCTCTCTCTCTCTCTCTCTCTCACACACGAACACAGGAGCTGCCCACCAGCCAAAGCCAGGACAGCTTGTTGGCTTCTGCAGACCGAGGACTGGGCAGCTGCAAACCCTCCAACCCTCCACGTTCGGTGACCTTGGTCTCATCTGTTGGGATGAGGATCCGAGCTGAGGGCTGGAAATCATTTTCCTCCTTGTGTGCTAAGAAATCCCCATAGAGGTGTTACATAATCATTTCACAGTGTGTTTCATAGAATGCATAAAGACTTAGCAAATCCATCTGTGTGTGTCCCGTGAGACTTCACACTTAAACAAGTTTAAATTGCCGTTAAGAGGCTGTGATGGTGCATATTCATGTTGTAGCTTTGAGACGCAGCTATGGGAAAAACTACGCAGTGTTTAATGTTACTGGGTCTGAACTGGTTGGCAGCCTGAGCTAAAGCTGGTGTGTCACAACACAGAGAAACAATTTTTATCTGCACAAAAGTCATTTTTAACACACGCAACCAAAAAACAGTTTATTTATCTGACGTCCCAGCCGTCCATTACAGGGCAATACAGACAAAAAAACATGCGTACACTCACTGTTACGAACAATTTAGAGTCTCCAAATGAACTTCCAATGAAGCCGATAGACGTAAGGACATGAGGTCGGAACAGGTAGGCCTCTGGTCTGGGTTCCAACTGGGAACCCTTATCTGATGTTCAACAACTTAAACTTTCAGTCCCCCACGCATGTTCAACAATTTAAATTAGAAATTCACCCACATTATAAAAAAACATAGTTCCTTAAATATGTTCTGAGACTTCTTCAAAGTGAAAACAAATTGATATTATTTTATGATACAGACAGAGATCACAGATGAATAATTAACTTGAAGCATGTCCTATCTGGTTAATATTCCACAGAGAAACAAACATAAACTCTGGATCTGTAACGTAACCGGTTTGTTCACAAGTTCAAATATAGTAAGATGGGATTTCTTGTTATCTCAGTGACATTATTCCCCTGGAATCAAGACATGCATCAATGCAAAATGAGATAAATTTTACAGTAACATTTCTATTTTCATAGTAGAGTGAACTTCCCCTCCATGTTTAGTGATGTTTTATACTCGTGAAAGAGAAAAAATTTAATATAAACATATTTTTCCATAGTTTTTGAAACATCACTGTTGTCTATTTGCTGCTTGTTTTGTCTGTTACTGATATTTATCTGCATTTTATGCCATATACTTAGTTATGTGTATCATGTGTGTCGAATTTTAGCTTTTGTCCTGCACATTTGGAGTTTGGGGAAACACAATTTTAGTGGCTGTGTGATGAACTCTTGCAGTAAAGCTCACTTTGACTTTGACACCACCTTTATTCACCTGTGATCTGTGGAGGACTGAAGTGAGCATCCTGACTCACAAAGGCTGAAAATACACAACCCCACCAACCGTTTTCGGCTAATTAACAGTTGTCTGTTACTCTAAACTGAATTCATGTGAGAAGAAAAGCAAACAATCAAAACTCTTCTCTGAATTAACCCGGCAGCTTTCGGGGCATTTTTTAAGTCACTGATAGCAAAACTTCATTAAGCGAAAGCAGAACTGCTGACCGCACAATGTGCATAAATAGTTTTAATTCATTAGAAAATAAAACATGCCATAATAAGCAAAGCTTGATTATCTTGACCCCTAGAGGGTATAAAATCCCAAGGTTAATTGCACAGTAATTAGTTCTGGTATTTTGATTAATGGTGCATTTGTAAGGATATTAAGCAACTAAATTACAATATTATGTGGGTCTGGTGTTGTTGCCTCATTTTGTGGCTACATTTAGCAAAGAAATCCTCTGGGATTGTAGCTGTTGGGTTTATTATTTCTTAGTTTTTCTCATGAGAAGAAGCAGAAACGGTTGGCGTCCGAGTTCCTGGGAAGAAGCGAAACGCCCCACGCTCTGCTAAAGTGTGCACGCTGTAAAACAAAAGAATATTTAGGTAATAAACTTTGAGTCACCAGTTGACTTGGCCCGGATGGGGGATGTGTTGAGCACCAAACGACTGCGAGGCCTTTTTATGAAAACCTACAGCTCTCGTCTTATTACCCAGTTGGCAGTAACTTTATATTTCCTGTACTTAAATAAAAGTTGAAGCAGAAATATTCCACCCACGGACGAGATCATATAAATCAGTATTACAATACAAATCAGCAAATGTTATTTAATATATTTCTAATTAACTAATTACTTTAATATATTTCTAATTAATATTTCAGATTGCTATTCTAATTAATCACAAAAAATATAAATCAGTAAATATGATTATTTAAAGTAATTACTTAATTACTTTAGTATATTTAGTATATTTAGTATATTTCTATTTATTTTCTGATTACAATATTTGTAATCTGCCAAATGTTACTTTACTCCGTGATTTTTTTGGTTAAATAGCACAAACAGGTTATCTGATCATATGAATGTGTTTATCTGTAAAAAGCTTTCACTGTTCTTTCAGACATGTTGTTAAACACTTTCTAACAGACATAAGGAACATAGTTTAACCACATGTGATTATTTTGGTCCCCCAAACGTATTTAAAAGCTTACAGCAAAAACACAGATTATTCCTTCTGCTTGTTTAAAACTATGCACGAGGGATAAAAACCAAACAAAAACAGCCTGGTAACAGTTCATTGATACCACTTCTAGATATTCTTGTCTCAGCTGGTTTCAACAGACAGGAAACACAACAACAAGTCCGATATGAGTTATAGCCGAATGAGCCCAGTAAACACAGCCAGACCCAGAGACCCAGACCAGGGGCCTCCGGGAGGGGGGGGGGGTTCTTAGAAAAGACAGGACAAGAGAGGTTTACCCAGTCAGGTTTTTATTTGGAACAGAGTGGCAGATTAGTGACAGGGCGGTGGCGCGGAGGATCCGCCTCCTCTCGCTCACTCAGCCAATGACAGAAACTCAGCATTAAAAAAATGCAAATGTATAAAAACAGGAATGGGAACAGCAAACAGAGAAGTGTAGCCTCCGCTGGGCTTCACACACACTCACACACACACACACACACACTCGCGCTCGCACATGCGCGCCTACACTCACACACACACAAATCGAACCTCTCTCCGACACACTCATCTTTATTTGGCTACGCAGGCTTAGTTAGATGGGTACAAACGCACAACTTTGACAGTTACTTTAGAAAAGACAGTACGTGTTGAGATCATTCCTGCCTGGACAGACGGCCGGACGAGCCGGACAGACAGTGAGAAGACACAGTCAGCGTGTGTGAAAGCCACCGTGAGGGACGGGCCGTCCCACATTCAGCAGTGAAAAGACGAACACACACTCACACACACACACACACACACACACTTAGACAGGCTGGTGTAGTGTACACAAGAGTCTGCTGTGAAATACCAAGGTGAAGCACTCCAGCACACACACACACACAGGTGGGGATGAGGTGTGGACACACAGGTTCTCACACTGGTGGTGGGGGGGGGGGGGGGGGGGGGGCGGTTGTCGACACACAGGAGTGGAGGATGTGTGTTACCAGTCTGGGGAAGAGCGTGAGAACGGCTGGAGTGGGTAAACACACTATCCACCACAGTACATTCCAGCTTTAATGCGCCCCCTTTCTCTTTAAAGTCCACACACACACACAGACACACACACACAGACACAGACACACACACACACACACAGAGGCATCCACACACACACACACACACACAGACACACGTACAGGTTGGACTCCCATGCATTTGTTGTTCTACAGTACTGAGTATAAGAGAAGCTACTGGTGTGGTTATTGTTACAATCTCTCAGATAAAAGCACGGCCTTCCTGTTGCCCCCCCCCCCCCCCCCCCCCCCGACCCCCCCCCGCCACTGAATACTCCCCCACCGTGTCACTTTCCCCCCTCGAGACCAAATCTTTTGCCTCCTGTTTTTCCACCCAAACCCCCCCGGCGGGGACCCTGATAATCCGGGACCGGGACCAGGCTGTAGGTGGAGGGCTAAAGCAGGCCAGGTGTGAAGAGGGGCTGGACAGGTAGGCCGACACCTGCCGGGACTGGATGCGGAGTTGTGCTTTTACCCGGCAACCGACCCCAAACTGATCCCCAACACACAGAAACCGTCCGGTCTCCATCCAGCCATCGGAACATACGATACGGGCTCGGATCAGACGGTTTCCGGTGGGTTTACTGTGGGTTTCCGGTGGTTTCCGGTGGGTTTCCGTGTGTTTCCGGTGTGTTTCCGTATGTGCGGTGCAGCAGGTTTGGCGCCCGAGTGCGTGCGTGCGTGTGGCGTGCACGTGACAAAGAGCACAGCTCGTCTAAAGTGATGACGGACGTGATGGATAATAAAAACTTCTTCATGGTCATGCAGATGCTTAGTGACGCCAGAAAGGATACGCTGATATTTACATATAAACTTTTTTTTTTTTTTTAATTGCTAAATACACATCCTCCCCTTTAAGTGATATTATTATTATTACGGTTTTATCATTATTACTCACCATCCAGCCCAAAAACATTGATATATTATTGATTATTATTACTATCCATAACTAGTCTTTGTACAGCTCAGAGGACCCCCCCCTTTGGGAGGCGCGGCGAGGGGGCGCCGTTTTCTGATTGGCCGAGCAGAGCGGGCGGACACGCGTGTGCGTGTGCGTGGAGCTCGTGTGTGTGTTTGTGTGTCTTTGAGCACCAGAGCTACGGAAGGCACAAAGAGACCTTTCCTCTGACCTTTGACCTCCAGCTCTGAGCGGCCAACCAGGCGCCCGGTGTGTGAGGGGGGGGGGGGGGGTTTTTTTGGGGGGGGGGGGGGGGGGCGGGGGTTTTTTTTTGTTTGTGCGTCCTGCGACTTCCCCGCCCCCCCCCCCCCCCCTCTCTTTTGAGCCTTTTTATTTGCTCCGTAAAAACAGAAGATCGACTTTTTTTTTTTTGTTCGTTTTGGAAAACAAAAAGTTAAGAGAAAGTTTCGTTTTTCTTACAAAATAATCGTATCGTTTACATACAGAACAAGAGAATCTGCAGAATATTTATAACAACATTTACTTTAAAAACATCTCGTGTACGTGTTGTTTTTTCTGAATATACTTGGATTTTTTTTTTTTTTTTCTTTTTTGTGTCCTTGTTTTTTTCCCCCCCG